AAAAAGCAGGACCCATCTATTTGCTGTCTACAAGAGACTCATTTTAGACAGAAGGACACCGACAGCCTGAAAATAAAAGGTTGGAGAACCATTTACCATTCAAATGGTTCTCAAAAGAAAGCAGGGGTAGCCATCCTTATATCAGATAAACTAAAATTTACCCCGAAGACAGTAGTGAGAGACGAAGAGGGACACTATATCATACTTAAAGGATCTATCCAGCAAGAGGACTTAACAATCCTCAATATATATGCCCCGAATGTGGGAGCTGCCAAATACTTAAACGAATTATTAACCAAAGTGAAGAAATACTTAGATAATAATACACTTATACTTGGTGACTTCAATCTAGCTCTTTCTATGCCGATAGGTCTTCTAAGCACAACATCTCCAAAGAAATGAGAGCTTTAAATGATATACTGGACCAGATGATTTCTGTTTGCTTCCCAAGACAGATGGATTTCACAGATATCTACAGAACTTTACATCGAAACTCAACTCAATACACATTCTTCTCAAGTGCACATGGAACTTTCTCCATAATAGACAACATACTGGGTCACAAAAAGGGTCTGAACCGATACCAAAAGATTGGGATCGGCCCCTGTATATTCTCAGATCATAATGTCTTGAAATTAGAACTAAATCACAACAAGAAGTTTGGAAGGACCTCAAACACGTGGAGGTTAAGGACCATCCTGCTAAAAGATGAAAGGGTCAACCAGGAAATTAAGGAAGAATTAAAAAGATTCATGGAAACTAATGAGAATGAAGATACAACCATTCAAAATCTTTGGGATGCAGCAAAAGCTGTCCTAAGTGGGAAATACATCGCAATACAAGCATCCATTCAAAAACTGGAAAGAACTCAAATACAAAAGCTAACCTTACACATAAAGGAGCTAGAGAAGAAGCAGCAAATCAACCCGACGCCCAGCAGAAGAAGAGGGTTACTTAAAATTCGAGCAGAACTCAACGAAATCGAGACCAGAAGATCTGTGGAACAGATCAACAGAACCAGGAGTTGGTTCTTTGAAAGAATTAATAAGATAGATAAACCATTAGCCAACCTTATTAAAAAGAAGAGAGAGAATACTCAAATTAATAAAATCATGAATGGGATCCCTGGGTGGCGCAGCGGTTTGGCGCCTGCCTTTGGCCCAGGGCGCGATCCTGGAGACCCGGGATCGAATCCCACATCGGGCTCCCGGTGCATGGAGCCTGCTTCTCCCTCTGCCTATGTCTCTGCTTCTCTCTCTTTCTCTCTCTGTGACTATCATAAATAAATAAAAATTTAAAAAAAATTAAAAAAAAAATAAAATCATGAATGAGAAAGGAGAGATCATTACCCACACCAAGGAAATACAAACGATTTTAAAAACATATTATGAACAGCTATATGCCAATAAATTAGGCAATCTAGAAGAAATGGACGCATTCCTGGAAAGCCACAAACTACCAAAACTGGAACAGGAAGAGATAGAAAACCTGAACAGGCCAATAACCAGGGAGGAAATTGAGGCAGTCATCAAAAACCTCCCAAGACACAAAAGTCCAGGGCCAGATGTCTTCCCAGGGGAATTCTATCAAACGTTTAAAGAAGAAACCATACCTATTCTCCTAAAGCTGTTTGGAAAGATACAAAGAGATGGAGTACTTCCAAATTCATTCTATGAGGCCAGCATCACCTTAATTCCAAAACCAGACAAAGACCCCACCAAAAAGCAGAATTACAGACCAATATCCCTGATGAACATGGAAGCAAAAATTCTCAACAAGATACTAGCCAATAGGATACAACAGTACAGTAAGAAAATTATTCACCATGACCAAGTAGGATTTATCCCGGGACACAAGGCTGGTTCAACATTCGTAAAAGAATCAATGTGATTCATCATATCAGCAAGAGAAAAACCAAGAACCATATGATCCTCTCAATAGATGCAGAGAAAGCATTTGACAAAATACAGCATCCATTTCTGATCAAAACTTCAGAGTGTAGGGATAGAGGGAACATTCCTCAACATCTTAAAAACCATCTACAAAAAGCCCACAACAAATATCATTCTCAATGGGGAAGCACTGGGAGCCTTTCCCTAAGATCAGGAACAAGACAGGGATGTCCACTCTCACCACTGCTATTCAACATAGTACTGGAAGTCCTAGCCTCAGCAATCAGACAACAAAAAGACATTAAAGGCATTCAAATTGGCAAAGAAAAAGTCAAACTCTCCCTCTTCGCCGATGACATGATTCTCTACATAGAAAACCCAAAAGCCTCCACCCCAAGATTGCTAGAACTCATACAGCAATTTGGTAGCGTGGCAGGATACAAAATCAATGCCCAGAAGTCAGTGGCATTTCTATACACTAACAATGAGACTGAAGAAGGAGAAATTAAGGAGGCAATCCCATTTACAATCGCACCCAAAAGCATAAGATACCTAGGAATAAACCTAACCAAAGAGGTAAAGGATCTATACCCTAAAAACTATAGAACACTTCTGAAAGAAATTGAGGAGGACACAAAGAGATGGAAAAATATTCCATGCTCATGGATTGGCAGAATTAATATTGTGAAAATGTCAATGTTACCCAGGGCAATTTACATGTTTAATGCAATCCCTATCAAAATACCTTCAGATAGTAAAGAACAAATTATTTTAAGATTTGTGTGGAATCAGAAAAGACCCTGAATAGCCAGGGGAATTTTAAAAAAGAACACCATAGCTGGGGGCATCACAATGCCAGATTTCAGATTGTACTACAAAGCTGTGGTCATCAAGAGAGTGTGGTACTGGCACAAAAACAGACACATAGATCAATGGAACAGAATAGAAAACCCAGAAGTGAACCCTGAACTTTATGGTCAACTAATATTCGATAAAGGAGGAAAGACTATCCATTGGAAGAAAGTCTCTTCAATAAATGGTGCTGGGAAAATCGGACATCCACATGCAGAAGAATGAAACTAGACCACTCTCTTGCACCATACACAAAGATAAACTCAAAATGGATGAAAGATCTAAATGTGAGACAAGATTCCATCAAAATCCTATAGGAGAACACAGGCAACACCCTTTTTGAACTCAGCCACAGTAACTTCTTGCAAGATACATCCACGAAAGCAAAAGAAACAAAAGCAAAAATGAACTATTGGGACTTCATCAAGATAAGAAGCTTTTGAACAGCAAAGGATACAGTCAACAAAACTAAAAGACAACCTACAGAATGGGAGAAGATATTTGCAAATGACATCTCAGATAAAGGGCTAGTTTCCAAGATCTATAAAGAATTATTAAACTCAACACCAAAGAAACAAACAATCCAATCATGAAATGGGCAAAAGACATGAAGAGAAACCTCACAGAGGAAGACATAGACATGGCCAACATGCACATGAGAAAATGCTCTGCATCACTTGCCATCAGGGTAATACAAATCAAAACCACAATGAGATACCACCTCACACCAGTGAGAATGGGGAAAATTAACAAGGCAGGAAACCACAAATGTTGGAGAGGATGCGGAGAAAAGGGAACCCTCTTGCACTGTTGGTGGGAATGTGAACTGGTGCAGCCACTCTGGAAAACTGTGTGGAGGTTCCTGAAAGAGTTAAAAATAGACCTGCCCTACGACCCAGCAATTGCACTGTTGGGGATTTACCCCAAAGACACAGATGCAATGAAACGCTGGGACACCTGCACCCCAATGTTTATAGCAGCAATGTCCACAATAGCCAAACTGTGGAAGGAGCCTCGGTGTCCATCGAAAGATGAATGGATAAAGAAGATGTGGTTTATGTATACAATGGAATATTACTCAGCCATTAGAAACGACAAATACCCACCATTTGCTTCAACGTGGATGGAACTGGAGGGTATTATGCTGAGTGAAGTAAGTCAATTGGAGAAAGACAAACAGTGTATGTTCTCATTCATTTGGGGAATATGAATAATAGTGAAAGGGAATATAGAGGGAAGGGAGAAGAAATGTGTGGGAAATATCAGAAAGGGAGACAGAACATAAAGACTCCTAACTCTGGGAAACGAACTAGGGGTGGTGGAAGGGGAGGAGGGCGGGGGGTGGGGGTGAATGGGTGACGGGCACTGAGGGGGGCACTTGACGGGATGAGCACTGGGTGTTATTCTGTATGTTGGTAAATTGAACACCAATAAAATTAAATTTATTATAAAGAAAAGAAAATTACTCTCATTATTTTTCCCTATGAAATCTAATATTTTAAAGATGTCTAGAACCAAAAACATTCATAAAGTTGTTATTAATTTAGGCTCCCTTCTTGTAAACTAATACAATCACAATTTCTGATGAACATGAGATATACAGCATGTTGCAAATGATATGATTACAAAGAAAAACAAATGTATTTGATATTTTGTTAGGCTATGCAATGCTGTAAACATAAGTTCAGGTTATGTTTCATTCATTGAAAGACTGAAAATAATATGTATTCTTCCAAAACATTCTTCCTCAAATGCCATACAACTGACTCAAGATGGAGATAATTGTTTTAGACAATAAAGCAGAGGAATCTGTGTCCAAGAATAGAATTGTTGTATATCACCAGAACCTAAAATGGTGCTTAGCACAATATAGAGTTTTTTCTAAAATATCTTGACTGGACAAGGTAATCCTTTTTAGACAAAATTCTTTGACTTACTTCCAACAATAGGGCATGTGCTTCATTTTTACACAGCACTTGACAATTTTCAAAACTTTTTCTGTCTATCCCATTTGATTATTACACTGATCATTTGTACATAAGACAAACATAAATATATTTCTGTTTTATCAATGAGCAAACTCTTAGCTGGATCAGACTGAGAATCTACCTTGAGGGTCTCTAATATGGCTGATAAATGTTCTTTCCTGCCCCCAGCTCCCAACATGAATCTGTCTATGTTGATCCAAACTACCCTTGCTTTTTGTATGAAATGAACTCAACCAAGTTAACTGAGTGTATTTTCTTACCTTCTCAGATGTCTGTCAAGGTTCAGCTTGGCATCAGTTTGCTCTGAAACTTGGTTGTACCGCAGTTATTCTTCTTACTTTGACTGTGATTGGGTTGAGTGTTTCAGGTAAGTGATTCAAGATCATTTGCTTCAGAATACTAATACTACTTCTATAAAAAAATGTTAGAGTACCAACATCATTGGGCCACCTCAAACTTAGTGAAAGAGCAATAACATAAAAACAATTACAAAAAAGTGCTTTTCACAATTCTCTGCCCAAATCTACTCCACAAACTTCAGCCTTTCACATTTCTCTTCCTAATTATTCTGATCACCTTCGTTTGGTATTTCAGATGTGTTCCCAGAACCTAAAAATAATCACAATTATAGTAAAAACATGGCAATGACAAAAGAATTAAATTTCTCCATTATTTATAGTTTTTTAAGTGCCTACTAAATTTCAGATTGCACTAGGCATTCTCTCCTATGGGATACATGTAATTATACTCATCCCGAAGATGAGAAAGCTTGGTCAGGAGTATAAACAACTTAATAGTAGATAGCCGATACGTCAAGGTCTGTGTGAGTTCACTGTTCTACGTATTTTCTTGTTTGTTTGTGTATGTATGCTGTATTCTAACTAGAACCTTTGCTATTGCCTCAGCTTCTGTCCACATTCAGCCTCGTTGAGATAAATAGTGATCCTGAAATGATCAATATAACATATCCATTTCACCACATTCAGCATTTAATCTTCTTATGGTCTCTCCTTACTTACTAGTGATATTCTTAAGACAAAACTCATCAATAGAAGAATGTCAAGTAGATGTTCAAGTGAGCAGGAATGAAACAACAGGTAATTGGGTAGCTTGATTTTCCTAAAAATAACAGCCATACATTACAGAAGTAAAGGCTCCTAACAACTTATATGTTAAGATGGCATTACCTTTCTTTCTGATTTTGTTGAACAAAACTGAGGAATGAAAAGGGTAAGCAACTCACTTAGGGTCATACTCCTAGTAAGAGACACAATGGAAATTACATCTGTGACCTGATATCAGAGACTATGATCTTAACCACCAGTTCATGTCACTTCCTGAGAAGTTGCTCCTAGAATATTCAATAATTAATACTAAATATTACGTTAAAAAGTAAAATATACACTCCCATGAAATATTTAATGATTTTAATGAGGCAGTCAAAGAAATAACTTTTGTCTGAAGCTAATTAGTAGAACTAAAACATAAAATGAATTTTTAAATATTTATTGTGTTTGTTAATCTCAATGATCATTAATCTTAAAACATTACTCTTGCTCCACTAGGTATGAGTTAATAAAGACACTATTGTGGAATGACTGTAGTAGGATGTGATCATGATTATGCACATTCTTACAGAACAGAAATGTTAAGAAACTTGGAAAAATCCTTCTGGAAAATGTTATCCAATAGATTTCATTAAGTCAGCAAATAGATAGTTTGGCAATTAGAAATTTTCCATAGAATTTGTCATCAATTTAGTGAAATCAATAGTTATCTGCCTTGCAGCTCACATGTTGTTTAACATAAACATTTTTTATGTAGTTCAACATGTAGTTTGAACATATAGTGGAGTCAGCACTAGTGATGAGTTTAAGGAAACTCAGAAATAGTTTTGACTCTACCACCATCTGATTGTATGGACTTAAATTATTCTGTCAGTACCTTAAAAAGCAAGATGTGGTTCCTTAAATGATTTTGATGCTCTTCCTCTATTTTAATATTCTATGATTCCATCTATGCTCAACATAGCTGGTCATGAATTTCCAATTCTTGATACCAGAATGAACAAAAATAAGTCTCAAAAATCGCAAAATTATAATAAATTCACTTGTCGTTCTCCTAGTGATAATCAGAGACTTTGGTGCATTTACAATGACCCGTGTATTTGTGATTGGTTGTGGTGGGTGGAGACAGGACAAAATATAACACTTACTTATTTCTTCTTTCTGTATACCTCAGAGAAACCAAATCTGTTACAGTGCCCAGTACATTGGCATCTACTCCAAGAAAAATGCTTGTTTTTTTCTCACGCTTCCAACACTTGGAAAGATGGTCTAACTGACTGTTCTGCAAAAGAATCCAGTTTGCTGCTTATTCAGGATCAGGAAGAGTTGGTAAATAATTATATAAGACACCTTAATAGAATTTAGCACTTTTTTGTAGCCATACCAAGATCTTCGGGCTTTAGAGCAGAGGTTCTATGTGGATAGAAGTAGCAACTTGGGCTTCAAGAAGCTCACAATCTGAGAGACTAAACACACGTGTGAGCAAATAATTGAATATAACTTAACATATGCAATAATATGAATATAAATAGACAATAATATCACAAAGAAGGAGTAATTAACTCTGATGGGGAGTTAAGAAAGGCATCATAGACAAAGTGAGATTTGAACTCAGTTTTAGAGAATGAGTAGAAAAATGCAAACCATGAATAGTAGTACAGATTGAATATCCAGTCATTCCTTTCATTTCATTGATAGAGACTCATAAGAAGACTGATATATAAGAAAGAAATTCTGTTTTGGATTGGACTGAATTTAACATTATCAGAGAAGAAATGGAAGTGGATAAATGGTTCGTTTTTAAATTCAAATATGTGAGTATTAGATCAGCTCATTTGAATATTCACTCTATCAGGTTTACATTTCAAGATAGTTAACATTGTTATGGAAAATTGAGTTTTGTGGTTTTAATTTAGTTTAGAAATTTTCAAGAGGTTCAGAATAGACAAAGAAGATGAATGATGTTGAAGTTATTGGTTGAAAAGTTCCATATATGAAAAGACATCAGGCCATTACAGCAAGGTATATTTTTATCTGCAAGGTGGTTTTAGAGGAGACAAGAAATAGGCTTTTTTGGGGAGGAGCACATGAAATTAAACAATCTCTAGCTGGAAGCTTATAGCATGCCAAAATTTTTAAGTGAATATAAAAGGAAAAGGGAACAGTGAATATAAAAAGAAAAAGAAAAAGCAAATATCAGAGTGCAGAATCTAGACACACCAAAAGCCTTATTGACAACATAAACAGTTGATTAATATATATTTTATATATTTTGTGTATTCTCTACTGTATTCTTACAATAAGCTAGAGAAAAGAAAATATTAAGAAATCATAAGAACAGAAAATACATTTACAGTACTGCACTGTATTTATTTTTAAAATGCATAGAAGCGAACCTGTGTAATTCAAACCCATGTTGTTCGAAGGTCAGCTGTATATTTTAACCAGTGGTATAAAGGAAACAGTCATTTGAGGGAATGTGTTAATATAGCTTAGGCCACAAAGGATCTATTTGCTGTTTTCTATTTATATTCATTATAGTTTCTTGTGTAAGATGGTCAAGGTAACAGTATAATAGGAGAGTGGCTACTGGACAGGTAAATTACATATTTTAACAGAATTTATGGTTCATTTCACAACAAAGGAAGAGTATTTTTTTCCTCAGAAGCAAAAGTATGAAGGTATTCAATAATGTTTCTGTAAAGAACTTTCAATAAGTTTTTCAGAAGAGATGATATACATTGCATTTTTGAGTCTGTGAATGATTCAATCAAATTTGTATCAATTATAGTTAAACGTTTTTTGTCATTCAAAAAACATGAGGAACATGAGGAAAAAACATGAAATTTAAAACACAGGAACATGTTCAAGTTTATCTACAGTGATAATTTATATGGGTAAGTATTAAACATTGAAAAGATGTTGGCTTAGTTAACAAATTTTTACATTGTTTGACCCATGTTCTAAACTATTTTTAAAAATGTGATTCTTTAAAAGATGGTTTTAAAATAAGTGCTGTGGCTGGCACAGTTGGTGATTGGTTTTGGCTCAGGTCATGATTTCCTGGGTCCTGGGATTGAGCTTTGTGTTGGGCTTCATGCTCAGCACAGAGTCTACTTGGGTTTCTTTCTCCCTCTCCCTCTGCTCCTCCCCCTGTGCACTCTCTCTTCATATAAATAAATCACCAATCAGTCAATCAATCAATTAATAAAGTAAGTGTTCCAGAATAGAATAAACTCATGAAAAGGCAAACATACTCATTCTGTTAAGTAAAATCTATCCTTACACCACAGGTACACCACAAACACACCACACATACACAACACACACAGAAAAACTCACCAAAAACAACACAGACATACACCAAACACGCATCACACATATACTACACATAAAACACACTCACTACACATACACAACACATATACACCACATGTACTCCACATATATACCATACACACACAGCACAGACACACCAAAAAATCCATCCTCATTTTTTACATGCTTTCTAGGTATTATTTTCTATACTTTATTTAAATATAAGTGAAAACTTGATATTAACTAATTTTTATACATAGTAAAGATTAATTTTGGCTGATTAAATTTAGCATGTGTGGGTGTGGATGTGTATTTATTTTACTGAGATTCAAAATAAAATTGGAAAATACTGAAGTGTCTGTGAGCAGAGATATAGGTAAAGGGGATTATATTCAGTTGAACATTCCATTTTACTCTGGGATAAAAAAACAATATTTTAAGGTATCAGTGAACAGATATACCTGAAAGGTATTGAGTTATAGTAGAAATGGTATCAGGTTCCGTTTTCATTTTAACTGTTGGCCTGGCTTTCAGGTAAGGAAAAAAATAGAGGGTGATAATTTTTTTCACAGGACTACTGAAGGACTAAATGAGATAAATTTAGAGAACCAGGCTGACATCAGGTCAAGGAAAGCCTGGGAAGTCATTGAGGGCCTTTCAGAAAAAAAAAAAAAAAAGTCATTGACCTGGCCATCTGAGCATTACAAAAGTTATCTTGAAATTGTTAAGAAGGGATCAAAAGGGTAGAAGAGATAAAACATGGCAGACTTTGGCAATAGCCCAGTTGAAAGAAGTTCATAATTTGACTAGAGTGTCAGACACTTGAGAGGAATCAGATTGGCTGCTCAGGCCCAAGGGGCTGCATGAAGGAATGCATTGAAGGAACAAAGAAAACCTGTGACACACCCTGTCCACTGCCACCACTCCACTTTGTTTGAAAGCAGATAAACTTATCTTGAACTCACCCCATCCTGGCACCTCACCCTAATGCTGCCTATTTTGTTTTTGATTCTACTCCCACCCTTACCTGCAGACACCCACCAACCTCTGTTTGGAATTGGAAAAAAAAAAGGAAACCTCTGACCACATACCACACAAATGAAACCTCTTTCCCTAGCTGTGTCCAAAGTCTGTAGACTCTGGATGCCCGTTACGCACTGTGTACTTAATATGTTTCCTCAGCACATACTTTGTTTAAGCATTGTCATACTTTCACAAGTGCCATTTCACTGTGTCCCCCAAATATTAGTGGTTATGTCCTATATATTTAAGAAAATTTAAGTTTAGTAGAATTAAAAAAAACTTTTCATGTGATATATTAGTAATAGAGTGGGGATAAGAAGAGAATTCCAGCTTCTAAAGCTTGTTTTCTTCGTATATATTATGAAGTTTCTTGTTAGAGGACGTTTTTCCAGGGAAGATCAACTTGCAAGTTTCAGAGATTTGTGAGTTCCACATGTTGCTCCATGCTCAGCGAGGAGTCTGCTTGTCTCTCTCCCTCTCTTCTGCTCCTCCCCCCAACTTGTGCTCTAAATAAGTCAATTAATTCATTAACTAATTAAATAAATCTTTTTAAAAAGTTTATACCATTATATTTGTGACTGCGTACTTACTCTATACTTAATAATTTGGCATCCTATTGTTCCCTGAAAGTTGTAGGAGACACTGGCTAGATGAGGATAATTAATTACGTGAGAAAATCCCAAACACTAACAGAGACATTTCTTTTGCTTCACAGATTACAAATTGCTGGTTATAATAAAGAAAGCAGCTGTGTTTACATCTCTCTGACAGGAATTGTTTCAGAGAACTGTGATGCAGAAAATCGATGGATCTGCCAAAAAGAACTGAAACCTGACAGAAGTAAAATATGTTCTAAATTCTGACTATGCATCCCCTCCCAATTTCTTTAATTTTCACTCAGGTCTCTGCTATTTTAATTATGCATATGGTTAAACTGGCCTACTGTATATTTAATAGCGCAAAATGCATCAATACTGAGAATTCTAAAACTATTGTGAATCTTACAGAAGTTCATGTCTAATCTACTCACTAAATGAATGAGGAAACAAATACATAGGGAAAACATGTATCATTTTTAAGATAGAGTGATGTTCTATGGAAACGAGTCAGACCAGCTGAGAGGAATGGTTTCCAGACTGGGGTATATGTGTGGCCTTCATTGGTCCCTTCTATGCCTTAGCTCACCTCTAGAAGTTTTAGTAAAAGATTTCTAAAGTCCTGTGAATATGTAATAGTCTATGATTTTTTCATATTATCACACAACTGGATTGCGGCAGGACCCTGACTTAAATCCATTCATTTGACTCTGATATCAGAATCTCAATCAAAGGATCCTGGGAAGGGATCTAAACTCCACCATTCCAATGTTCTTCCCATTTTAATGTTCTCATTACGTCTTTATTTTCCTTTTATGTCTCCTTTTATCTATGGCTCACATACAACTGTAGGAAATATGTAATTAAATTTTTCATTACTTAATGGGAAATAAGTGATATTTTTTCAACAAAAGAGAAATTATTCAAATAAATATCATGAAAGTTCACTTTTTAAAACATGCCATATTTTCTGTGGAGAGCAAATAAATAATAATAATACTGAATTTACTCTGTAAGGAGGCTTATAAAAAAATTTCTGAAAAATAGATATCTACTTGCTCTGATCATTCGATGCCAATTTGAATTATATAAACTCAAGTACATACTATAATGACCAAAATCACATTTCAATTTCTGTTTTCCATGATGATTTATATTACTTGTTATATAGGGGGAGGGGCCAAGATGGCGGAAGGAGCAGGGTCCCCAAAATCGCCTGATCCCCACCAAATTACCTAGATAACTTCAATCTCTGCAAATCTAGAATTCGGCTCCTGAGATTTTAAAGAGGAGACAAGCTGGAACGCTACAGTGAGAGAGTTCGCGCTTCTATCAAGTAGGGAAGAGGGGAAAAGAATTAAGGAACAATAGGCGCCGAGGGGGAGGGGCCCGCGAGGAGAGGGTGAGGCCGGGGCGAGTGTCCCCAGGACAGGGGAGAGCCCGTCTGGAGAAGCAAGGGAGCAGCAACAACCTTCCCGGGCGGGCGGGGAAAGGGGCTCGCAGGGAGTTGGAGCAGGACCCAGGAGGGTGCGGGGATGCCCTCGGGATCCCGGGACACTGAACAAGACAGCTGCGCCCCGGGAGAGTGCGCCGAGCTCCCTAAGGGCTGCAGCGCGCACGGCAGGGATTGCCGACCGGAGCAGATCGGAGGGACTCAGGCGGCCGGCTCCGCGGAGGGGGCTGCGTGGGCGGGAGCGGCGAATCAACAGGCAGGCCCCGGAGCACGGCGCAGGGACAAGCCAAGGATCCGGCCTCCCGGGACATGGCAGAGGCGGGAGGGCCCAGGACGCGAGGTGCGCTCTTGCCCGAGCTGAGCAGTTCAGCGGCCCCGCCCGGAAGCCTCCATGGCCCTGCGGACGAGAACCGAGAGCCCCGAGGTACCCCGTAGTTCCTGCGGAGGCTGAATCCAGGCTTCCAGAGCTGCCATAGCCACTTGGGGCTGTTCCTCTGGTGGCCCGACGGGGTAAACACCCCCGCTGGCCCTGCTGCAGGCAGGGGAACCCCCGAGCAGCTACCCAAGTTGTGAACACCTGAAAATCAGCACCGCAGGCCCCTCCCCAGAAGACCAGCTAGAGGGACCATGATACTCCCCCGTTGTTTCCAAGACAATTGTTTTTGGCCACTCTGCACTTGAGCAAAATGACTAGAAGGGAAAAACCTACTCAAAAGAAGAATCAGAATACAGCCTCTCTCCACAGAGTTACAAAATCTGGATACACTTCAATGTCAGAAAAGCCATTCAGAAGGCACTATTATACAGCTACTGGTGGCTCTAGGAAAAAAGCATTAAGGCCTCACGAGACTTCTGACTGCAGAATTTATATCCAATCAGGCAGAATTAAAAAATCTATTGAAATGAGATGCTATCCAAACGTAGAAGTCCATAACGGACGAGGGTTAACGACGGTGGATGAGACGAGTGAGTGACATAGATGACAAGTTAATGGCAAAGAGGGAAACTGAGGATTAAAAGAGGACAATCAATTAGGGACATGAAGACAGATTAAGGCAAATAATGACTCTCTAGGAAGAAAAACCTACGTTTAATTTGGGTTCCCGAGGGACGCCGAAAGGGAACGAGGGCCAGAAGATGTATTGAACAAATCTTGCTGAAAACTTCCCAATCTGGGAGGGAAACAGGCATTCAGATCGGAAATTGAGAGATCCCCCCCTAAAAATCAATAAAAACCGTTCACACTCGACATCTAATAGTGAAGCTTTGCCAATTCCAAAGATAAAGTGAAGATCCTTAAAGCAGCAAGAGACAAGAAGTCTGACTTTCATTGGAGGAATATTTGGGTAACAGCAGACCTCTCCACAGAGGACGAGGCAGGCCAGAAAGGGGCTGGCAGGATTATTCAGGGTCCTTAATGAGAAGAACATGGCAACCAGAATACTTTATCCAGCAAGGCTCTCATTCAAAATGAAGGTGAGATAAAGAGTTCCTAGCCAGGCAGGAACTGAAAGAATATGTGAACTCCAAACCAGCCTCTGCAGGAAATTTAAGGGGGACTCTTAAAACTCCCTTTAAGAAGAAGTTCAATTAGTAACTCTGAACGTGAATGGGCTTAATGACCCCATCAATAGGGCAGAGTTTCAGACTGGATAAAACAGGAACCCATCTATTTGCTGTCTACAAGAGACTCATTTTAGACTGAAGGACCACCTACAACATGAAAATAAAAGGTTGGAGACATTTTTACCATTCAAATGGGTCTCAAAAATATACCTAAAAAAACTACAGAACACTTTGAAAGAAAATTGAGAAGACACAAAAGAGAGATGGATAAAATATCTCCATTGCTCATGGATTGACCAGGATTAATATGTGAAAAATGTCATGTTTACCCAGGGCAATTTACCCATTCAATGCAATCCCTATCAAAATACATGGACTTTCTTCAGAGACTTAGAACAAATATTTTACGATTTGATGTGATCAGAAAAGACCCCAAACAGGCCAGGGAATTTTAAAAAAAGAAAACCATATCTGGGGGGCATCACAATGCAGATTTCTGGTTGTACAACAAGCGTGTTCATCAAGACAGGTGTGGGTACTGGCACAAAAACAAACAATATAGTCAAGGGAACAGAACAGAAAACAAGAAGTGGACCTGAACTTTATGCTAAACTAAATACGATAAAGGTGGAAAGAGATCCACTAGAAGAAAGACAGTCTCTTCAATAAATGGTGCGGGAAAATGCACATCCACATGCAGAAAGAAGAAACTGGAACCGAATCTCTTTCACCATACACAAAGATAACTCAAAATGGATGATAGATCTAAATGTGAGACATGATTCCATCAATAATACAGAGAAGAACTCAGGCAAACCCTTTTTGAACTTGCCACAGTAACCGGAGAAGGACATACAAGTTGTATAGTTCTCATTCATTGTGGGGATTATGAATAATAGCGAAAGGGGATTATATGGAAGGAGAAGAAATGTGTGAGAAATATCAGAAAGGGAAGACAGAACATAAAGAATTCTAACTCTGGGGAACGAACTAGGGGTGGTTGGATGAAGGGGGTGGAGGGAGGGGGGTGGGGGTGAGATGGAGTGTCGGGCATGAGGGGTACACTTGACGGGATGAGCACTGGGAAGTTTTATTCTGTATGTTGGTAAATTGAACACCAATAAAAATGCAATTTATAAAAAAATACTTGTTAATATATAAATTTTGAGATTCAACGAGCAAAGTATAATTGTGTTCACTTAGGGAAACATTCTAGACAAGAGAATCATTATGAACAATATATGATAACAGTGAGATTTGGAAGTGTTGGGCACTTTTGGGGAAGCGACCTATAAAGAACAGAAATCTGAAAAAAAGTGTTTCCATAACTGACAATGTACATTTCCATCCCTTGGAATGATGTTCAGTGCAACCTTCTAAAGCAAATCAGGATAAGGTTCTCTAAATCCAACCAGTTAATCTAGAATTCATTCCAAACATGGATCTGTCAACTGAGTATGTTGTGTGTCAATTATACTCAAATTAAAAAAAAAAAACTTAGAATTTTGTCACAGAGAAATGATAAACAATAAATAGTTCTATAGCAGAAGTTTATCCATTTTGTCCCATTCCAACACGTTATTTCCTTCACAACATGTAAACTTGGGTAATTATTTTGTTTACTTATTTATTATTTTGTTATTGTTATTATTTTGTTAGGTTGACTCTTGATATCAGCTTAAGTCATGATCTCAGGGTTTTGGGATCTAGCCCCATGCGGAGCTCTGTGCTCAGCAGGAAGTCTGCTTAAGGATTCTCAATCTCTGACCTCACTTGCATGCACAATCTTTCTCTCTCTAAAATAAATAAGCAAATTAAAAAAAAAATGAGCACCATGAGTGGAAGGACCTTCATTGTATTATTAACCAATGCATGGTTCTGGCACAGAGTAGATTCTCAATAAATATTTCCTGCCAAATAAATAATTGTACAATCAAATATGTTGACTGAATGGGCATACTGAGATGGTTCTTGCTTGGGGTCTCTAATGTAGTTAGAGTGAGATGGTGATTAGGGCTAGTGGTATCTCATTGCTTTCCTCACCAATATTTGTGGCTATTGATTTGTGGCTGTTGCCTTGAAACTCAGCAGGGCAGGCAGAGTTACAGGAATAGTTTTTCTAAAAAGACCATTTTCCAAATAATAATACAAGCAGCATAGAATGACTTGTCAACATTTAGGAAGTGACCCACTGATAGAGCTAGAACCCAAATATGATCTCCCAGGTATATGAAGCCAATTGCATATCCATCTATCCTGACACACTCTATTAGAGCCCTTTCAAAATAAACATTTGAACACTGCATACTCAGAGTGTGCTTTGGATTTATCATTTGTGATTCATGAGAAATTTTCAATATTCTATCTCAGGGAATAGGTAATTGCATCATGGTTACAAATTCTCAGGCAAAGACTTTCAATAAACATAATCTGTAAATGTAATTCAAATTCTGACTTAAACTGCCCTCCAGATAGCTTGTTTTCTTCTTCAAGTTTTTATTCAGTTGTAATGATTTTGAGGCTAAAAGCATGAGAGGCAGTATCCAATTATGAGTACCTTATTTCAACTTATTGTTTGGTGGTAATGTAAATACAGGGCAATTTAAATTAGTGATAATTTGTATGTGAAGTGATTTTGCCCAACCAGCAGTGGGAGGGGTGGATCCAGAATGCAAGCTCCTAAATCACAATGATCTCTGCCTGTCTCTTCACTGATGTGTCCCAAGAACCTAGAAAGATATTGGGCACATGGCAGGTACTCAGTGAATACTGAACAAATGATGATTTAAAGAGAAGAATAAATATTCTGTCAGAGTTTATTTTGTAG